CTGTTATTACAATTACTTTTGATTAGGGGCTGGGGATGTGGCTCAAGCGGTAGCGCGCTCGCCTGGCATGCGTGCGACCCGGGTTCGATCCTCAGCACCACATACAAACAAAGATGTTGTGTCCGCCGATAACTAAAAAATAAATATTAAAATACAATTACTTTTGATTATCTGTTCTTGCACTCTCCTCATACCCTTCCTTTCAAATTTACAATTAAAACATCAGTTAAGTGAAGGTACTATGATGTTAGCAGTAAAAGCAAGAATTTTAGAATTGGGTTTGAATCCTCTTTCTCTTAGTCATTTACTAGTTCTATGACCTTTGAGCCTCAATTTTCTTTTCCATAAGATGGGGCTGGGGTTGCAGCTTCATAGGTAAAGCGCTTGCCTAGCACGCGTGAGGCACTGGGTTGATCCTCAGCACCACATAAAAATAAAATAAAGATACTGTGTTCACCTATAACTAGAAAATAAATTTTTTTAAATGGGGCTTATTGTCTCTGTCTTATAGAATTGTTACCTTATGGATGGCAAAGCATCCACTCATTTGTCCAAAAATGCTTTTCTGGGGTGCGGGGAATTTACTGGAGATTACTTTACCACTGAGCTAAATCCCCAGAAATTTTTTATTAAATATAATTAAATATATAAAATATAAAAAATATTTTTTTATTTTAGGACAAGGTCTTACTAAGTTGCTTACAGCCTTGCTAAATTGCTAAGACTGGCCTTGAACTTTTGATTCTCCTGCCTCAGCCTCTGGAGCTGCTGGGATTATAGGTGTATACCACCACAACCAGTTTGTCCAACAAATTCCTACTGGGCCCCTATTACAGGCCTAGCACTGTGTTAAGCAATAGGGCTTTGGAACAAGAACAGGCACTGTCCTCATATAGCTTAGAGCCAAGGGACCACAATATTTTCAAGTAACCAGACAAAAGGTTTTTTTTAATTTTTATATCTTAATAAGTAAATAAAGATCCTCATAAGGTAGTAAAATAGTAAGTTCTAAATTATTAATAGTTCTTATAATTTTTTAATTAAAACAAAAAGTCTAGGCATGGTGGTACACACCTATAATTTCAGCAACTCAGAAGGCTGAGGTAGGAGGATCACAAGTTCAAGGTCAGCCTCAGCAATTTAGCGAGTCCTAAGCAATTTAATGAGATCCTGTCTCAAAAATATAAAATTAAGAAGCAAAAAAAAAAAAAAAAGGGTTGGGGTTGTGGCTCAGTGGTAGAGCGCTTGCCTGGAATGTGAGATACACTGGGTTCAATCCTCAGCACCAGATAAAAAGAAATACATAAAGGTATTTATTTCTTTTTATTTATTTATTTCTACAACTAAAAATGTATTTTAAAAAAGAGGACGAGGAGGAGGGCTGGGAATGTAGCTCAGTGGTAAAACACCCCTGGACTCAATCTGCAATACAAAAAGAAAAAGAAAAAGAAAAAAAACTCAACATAATAAGCTCATAGAAAATACATTTTAGAACTGGAAATATTTTTAGAAATAAGAATATCCAATTCTCTCATTTAATAAAGACAAAGAGTCCAGAATAAATTTATTTAGGACATTTATTCAGTCAGTTCATGTGCCAGGTGCTGGGAATAGAGAGATAAGTAAAACACAGTTCCTTACCTTATGTCAAGTAAATATGTGCCAAGGGGGGTGTATACCCCTAATCCCAGCAACTGGGGCAACTGAAGAAGGAGGATCACAAGTTTAAAGCCAGTTTCAGCAATTTAACAAGGCCTTAGGCAACTTATGGAGACCCTGTCTCAAAATTAAAATAATAAAAAAAAAAAAGGTTGGAGATGAGTGGTGGTTAAGTGCCTTGGTACTAAAAAAAGGAGTTACAGAAAGATGGAGAAAAACCCAGGAATCATGTGCATGCCTGTAATCCAAGATATTTAGCAGGCTGAGGCAAAAGGATTACAAGTTTCAGGTAAGCCTCAGCAACTGAGTGAGAACTTTGTCTCAAAATAAAAAGCACTGGGGATCTAGCTCAGTGGCAGAGCACCCCTGGCTTCAATATCCTCAGTATCACAACAAAACAAAACAAAAAGGAGCCGGGTGCACTGATGCACACCTGTAATACCAATGACTCAGGAAGCTGAAACAGGAGGATCACAACTTACCTTCCTCAGCAACTAAGTGAGACCCTGTTTCTAGCACCCCTGGGTTCAACCACTGGTTTTTTCAAAAAAAGACACCAGACCCACTGACTAAGCAGACAAGACAGAAAGGAGAGATTAAGACCTTCCTCCTTCATCCCTGAGATGAAGTAATACTCCCCCTCCAGACTAGCAACATTTCCAACTTTATCCTTGTCACTTGCATAGGCAATCTCAACATCAAACTCGTACTAGAAAAACAGCACTATGAAGCAGAAGGAGCACACCTTGGAATTCTGCAGATCTAACTGAAACTTTGGCTCCACCACTAATTAACTGTGTATGTCTTCATTCATCTGTTTCTGCATCTGGAAAACGGTGACAATGCTTACTTTTGGGAGCTGTGGTAAACATCAGCAATGTACCTAATGTGTTCAGATGAACCTAGAAAAATGCCTGACATGCAGAGGTTACCCAATAATGCTATTATTTCTTATTATTGAAGACAGTTCTCCCTTGTTTACACCATACCTAGTGATTACAGACATCAGCAGAGGCATAGATCAGGGCTCCCACAATAATATGGAATACTCCAAGACTTATGGCACCTTCACTGGTTACTTCTTTTTTTTTTCTTTCTCCTTCCACACTTTTTGATGCAATGTAGTTGTATATAATGATGGGATTTGTTGTTACATATTCGTACACGTGCACAATATAACAATATAATTTACCCAATTTCAATCCCCAGGATTTCTCCTCTTCCTCCTTGCATCTCACCCTGGCTACATTTTTCTTTTCTTTTTTTTTTTACACCCTGGCTACATTTTTTCAATCTTTCCTCCATTCAATGTTTATCTATTCAAATCTCCACTCCACTTTGCCAACTTGAAAAATAAAATCTGTGAACCTGCCCCTCCTGTCTCTTCTTCAAAATACAAACCTCTTTCCTTCTTTCCCTTACCACTATATTTCTCAAACAAGAAGTCTTTTGTTGCCTCTACACCCTCACCTCATGCTCACTCCCTAAGCCACAGTAGTCTAGCTTCCGTCCCCACCCTTCCACTGAAACTGTTATCACCAAGGTCACCAATGACTCAGTAGCCTCATTTCAGGGCTTACCCTACTTGTTCTCTCTGCAATAGCCACTACTGCCCTCTTATAGAAGCTCTCTCATTCTTGGCTTCCCAGATAATACTTTCTCAGAACTACTTCTCTGATCGCTCCTCATTAGGCTCCCTAACTTTACATAACACTACATGTAATTGACAGTTCCTTGGGCTCTATTCTCAAACCCATTCCTTTCCCCATTTTACTCAGGTGATCTACTTCTATGATTTCCACTATCATTTAGATGTCATGATTCCGCCTCTCGGAAGACCCAAAACTCATATCTCCCTACAAGTAACAGATATTTCTCTGGATGTCACCCATAAGTATTTCAAAAACTGTTAGGTACATTGGCACATGCCTGTAGTTCCAGTGACTAAGGAGACTAAGGCAGGGCAACTTAATGAGACCCTCTTTCAAAATAAAAAATAAAAAGGGCAGGGGATATGGTTCAGAGGTAGAGTACCACTGGGTTTCAATCTTCAATACCACAATAATTTTTAAAAAAATTAACTTTCCCAAATTAGCTCTCCTTGTATTCCATGTATTAATAGCATCAAAGTAATATCCAGTCACCCAACACTTCCTCCTTCACCCTCTACTCAAGTTAAGTCAACCGCCATGACCCTTGTTCCAGCCTCCTCATCTGCTATCCTAACAGCCTTCTGGCTGACTTCCCTGACTCTAGTTTTAATCTATCCATCCTAAGCAGAGGTATAAGGGAGCTCATTTTGCTACACTACTCTTAACTATTATCTCCATCTTAAATATCTATAGCAAAGCTCAACTCTAATAGGATCTCAGTTCTTTGCTATGAAATACAAGGTCATTCAGGATCTGGCCCTCCCATACATTCAGCTTCATCTTTCTGCCACTTCTTCCAAGTATCCCAAAACTCCAGCTCAAAGAACAATTCACCACTCCCTAAATATGCCATGCTTTTTTATACTTACATTACCAAATCACCTTCTAGAGTCATCTGCCTGGCATAGTATTGGTCATCCTTGAAGATCAAGCTTTAAACAGCTTTGATATCTTCCCTGACTCTAAGATCTTAGACATTTTGATCCTCCTTTCTCTCCCAGTACATTTTCTATGTACCTCTATTGTAGCGTTTGTGACGCTGTATTGTGGGCATTTGTTTATCTTCTTGGTCATCTGTGGGTTGCTCATGGACAAAAACTATTTTTCACAACCCTTGCAACTTGCCCAGATCTCAAGATGAGCAACCAGACTGACTAAAATCTAACAAGAAATACTCCCCCACTCTGTCAGGAGAGCAAACTCTAAAAGCAGCAGGAAGTTTCACTGGGTTCAACTTCCCCTCTAGCAAATACCTCCAGATGCTGCTTGGACTCTGACCCCAAAGGAGCTATTCCTAACCTGATTCCTGAGGCCCCACTGCCTGAACAGCCTTTTCAATAAAAAGAGAGCCTTCTTAAGATTAAAATTCTTTGGAAAATAATTTATAAAATGGGCTGTGACTCCAGGGAAGACTGGCAACTGCCAGATACATCTCAGAAAAAAAATGTGAAATAACTCCAAGACCTTTATACACTTTCAAAAGCATATTTTTTTTAACAGTCTGGACTCATATTCTTGACTTCAATTTGCCCCTTAGGAAAATGCCCTGCCCCATACTATCACAACAAGTATCTTCACTAAGCAGAAATCTATAATGACTTCTCTCAGTCTAAAATGGTATAACATGGTAATTAAGAAAAAAGACTGAAAATTTATCACTTAGGCTTGAATTCCAACTCCACCACTTTTTTTTTAATGGCATGGTTCATAAATTTGAGTATCATCCTTGCACAGGGGCCAAGCTAATCTCCTCTGCATGACTTCAATTTTTAGTTTATGTGCTGCAAAGCAAGCCCTTCACCACTTATTAACCATGTGGGTTTGGGCAATTTATTTAAGTTCTCTGAGCCTCAGTTTTCTCTTCTGGGAAACATTAAGATAATACTACCCTCTTAGGGTTGGTTTACTGATTAAATAAGCTAATAATAAAGATTAAACAAACTTAACATTTAAAATGCTAAGAATAGTGCCTGCTACATGGTAAAGACTTAGTAAATTATATATAAGCTTATTCAGGTTTCAAGACCCTCTGTCATTCACAGCCTGGAAAAAAAAAAAAAAAAAAACTGTTGCCCTGTCCCAGTTCATTTTCCAACATCTACCAGTTCCCAATCCTTTTAATTTCTGACCTCATTTGTAATCCTTTGCCTCTACTCACAACACCAATGAGCTTCTGCTCAGTTCCTTCCTCTATCCTTAGTTGCAAATTCTCCCTCTGACAATGCTACCTTCAGCTTCCCAGGAAATAACCCCTGCCGTAGTATCCCACATACAACACACATAACAACAGTATAGTAGGGTACAACCTTCTCCAGAGAATTCTATTCTCTGCTCACTCCCAACTACATTCAAGTCATTTTCATAATCCAAATGCCTACTGAGCTTCTGCATTATATAAACATTAAGCAGAGTTTTAGAGGCTGGTTAAATCACACCATCTCTAGGAAAACTACTAGACTACAGTGATTCATACAAATGTCTGCCTTCCCTCAACTACTAAAGTTTTAAACTATAACATATACTTCCATGTTCATATCATCTAATCATCTCTCCTAAATTTAATTCTGATTTTCAATCAATACATTCCCATCATCCTAGAACAGTGACTTGGTCATAGTAAATGGTTTATTTTATTTTTTTAGTTATAGATGGGTACAATATCTTTATTTTGTCTATTTTTATGTCGTGCTGAGGATTGAACCCAGTGATTCACATATGAGAGGCAAGAATTCTGTCACTGAGCCACAACCCCAGCCCAATAGTAAAAGTTTAAGAAGTATTAACTGGATATAACCAATCTAACCCAATTTCTTCATCCTTTTCATTTTTCCCCATAGTACTGGGGATTGAGCCCAGATATGCTCCACTGAGCTGTATCCCAGCCCTTTCTATGTCTTATTTTAGACAGGTTCTTACTAAACTGTTGAGGCTGGCCTTGAACCTGCAATCCTCCTACCTCAGCTTCTAGAGTAAGGGAGGGATGAATTAGATCCCATTGTCCTCTCTCCCTCTATCTCTATGCTCGCATCTCCTCTATCATAGTAATGAGCACTACCAAAGATGCATGGATAGACAGATGGAAGAAAAGGAGGAAGGAAGGAAGGGAGGCAGGAAGGAAGGAAAGCAGAAAGGAGAAATGCCTTACTCAAAACCATATCGCTGGTTAATAGCAGAGTGAGGACAGGAACTCAAAACTGTTTTTTAAGACTGAAATGGTATATGAAATCTCACCCCACCACCACCACCCCAACCTTCTTCTGGGCCACCTACAAATTACCAAGGGAGAAGATAGTTCCCTGGTTGTACTCTTAGTTTCATATAGCTTCCAACCTATCCAATGAAGAGGTAAGAGAGAAAAGAAGGGCCATTATCAGATATTCCCAAGAGCTTCCTAGGTATGACTTTAGGAAGCTCAAGCCAGAGTGGGTTACCACCAGAGACAAATTCACTTGACAGCTGCCCTCCTGGAAACAATTAACTTAGCCGATTTTCCTTTGATAGAATCTTAAGCTTGAAGGGAGTATTTTGAAATTACTTGGACTGACAACTGAATGTTAAAAACCCTAAGAAGAGCCAAGTGCACTGGCACACACATATAATCCCAGTGGCTTGGGAGGCTGAGGCAGGAGGATCACTAGTTCAAAGACAGCCTCAGCAACAGTGAGGTGCTAAACAACTCAGTGAGACCCTGTCTCTAAATAAAATGCAAAATAGGGTTGGAGATGCGGCTCAGTGGTTAAATGCCTCTGGGTTCAAGCCCTGGTTTTAAAAAAAAAACACCTAAGAATGCCTAACTTCCTTTGTCCCCACTTGAGTTGGATATAGAAGAAACACAGGCTAGAGGTTAACATTTAACATTTAATAAGAGCTAATATGTCAGGGAGTCTGATAAATGTTCAACATAGATTATCTCATCTTAATCCTCAAAACAACCCTGTGAGGTTATAATATGATTATCTCCATATTATAGATTATTACAGATGAAGTAGGTTCAGAGAGGTTAAGTAACTTTCCCAAAACATTACAGGTAGCAGGCAATAGGACAAGGCAGTCTGATCCAGGACCCATGCATTTTTATCACTAGTTGAGGTACAACTTATCTGGGAAGACTTCCTCGACAATGTCCCCCACTACCAAGATTAGGAGGCCCCTACACCCTCACTATCCTTTACCCCACTATCTCTATACTCCATTCCTTCTATCATAGCAGTCAGCATCACCAAATAATGAGTTCCATAAGGACAAAAACTACTAAATTTTACACTTCCTATGTCCCTTGTACCTAGCATTGCATTTGTGATTTAATCAAGATTTTTCTTTGAGAATAAACAACAACCAAGGAATATAGAACAATGAAGGAAAGACACAGGCTTTAAAGTCAAATGTATTTAGATCTAAATCCAGGTTTAGCCAATTCATAGCTCTGTATCCTGAAAAAGCCACTTGACCTCTCTGAGGCTCAGTTTCCCTATCATTACAATAGGGATTAGAATGTGACCACATATGTGATGAATTTCTCTGCTCTATAAATCTTGCAATGGTCTTAGATAAGTAAAGCAATATTTTTTTGATCAGTTTCCTGGATACAGATTTAGTTTTGTGATATTAAACTATTTTTCATAAATAAATAGTAATGAAAATTTGTTTTTAAATGTAAACAATAGTGTAGTGAAAAAATAGTACCTTATAAAGTGCTTGGTGCATTAAAATTACTGTTTTATTACCATTCTTCTCATTTCTCCTTCTACATATGCTGATAAAAAAAATTAAAAAATAAAAGAACAGTAGTCCAGGAATCCAGAGTCAAATGCTATAACCTTAGTTCTGTACTTCTCCTCTCTGGGTTCAGTTTCCTTATCTATAACTCACAGAACTGCTGGTTCAGTTAAATAAAATTAAATTAAATTAAATGTGCTTGAGGGTTAGGGTTGTGGTTCAGTGGTAGAGTACTTGCCTAGAAGGTATAAGGAAACAGGTTCAATCCTCAGCATCACATAAAAAATAAACAAAATAAAGTTATTCAAAAAATTATGGTCTATTTATAAAAAAAATGCTTGAGTGGATAAATAATACTAAACAGAGGAAAGAAACTATCATTCCCTATCCTCTAAATAAACTTTTTGCTCTTGGAAAAAAAATAAATAAATAAACTATCATTCCACCTCTCTGGCTTCTAAAATCATTCCTCACCAGAATGCACACTCTGTGTTGAAGCTCAAGAAAGAAGACTAATCTTTCAATGGTTTAGCAGTTATAAAGGGATGGAGTATTTGCAATGTCACTAGGAGAAAGAGCCAATCCCACCAAGGAGCTAAAGTAAGACACTGCCAAGTGGCTGTGCTCCAGGAATCCTTAGCTAATTAAGGCTTTGCTTCCCTTCCCCGTCTGCCTGTGACCTCTGCAAAGGCTAGAGAACACCAAGTGCTCCACATCAGCTCTTCTCTTGGCCAGAGTGACATAAGGTATTACTGGCCAAGGATCAGCGTAAACTATTGCTAAGAGGTTCCTGTCCTTGGTTTTCCTTAGAACAAGGTGAAAAACAAGGAGTCCTTCACTCCTTGTCCTGCGATTAGCAATTCAGGATTCTGAAGAATATGCCCTACACACAGCTACTAGGAACCTAGGTCTGGAACATTCCAGGTGTGACACAAGTGAAGCCAGTCAGGCCCTCTGGATAGAGGAAGAAGCCCTCTTGCATTTGGAACTGGAGGTAAAGCAAAGGGACTGGTCCTCCCATGCTCAGCTAAGAATATCTAATCTTAGATGCTCCCAAGGCAACTTTCAGACTCTTCTTCAAGTTGCATAGGCCTCAGGGACTTAACCACTTCCTTTGCTCATTAAAGCAGAACTCCTACTCCAACACTTAGTACTCCCTTCCCCCACGCCTGGTTCTGGGGGTAAAAGCCAACTATCTCCCCCTTTTTGTTGCAGGAGTTTAACTGTTAGGTTCTAAAAGAATATAAACTATAAACAACAAACATGGGTACGTAAAAAAGGTTTAAAAAGTCTTAATAGCTGGGGATGTAGCTCAATGGGAGAGCATTTGCCTAACATGCATAAAGCCCTGGGTTCAATCCTTAGTATCACCAAAAAAAAAAAAGAGTTGAAAAGTTAGTTACAGTCACTGTCCCCACTTCACAGTGCCTGGTTCCTGTAATAAATGTTGCTATTAAAGAACAGCTACAATCCATTAGTTTTTAAAACTTATTTTTAAATAATGGAATGACAGTTTCTTTCCTCTATTTAGTATTATTTATCCACTTTAGCAAGTATTTTCAAGTATAGTTCAAGTCAAGCCTAATTATGAGTCTCAATATTTAATTAGGTCTCTAATGAAATAACAGACAGAGGTAATAAACATCAATGAATCCTACAATCATTAGGCAAAAACTGACACAAGTGAAGCCAATCAGGCCCTTTGGATAGAGGAAGAAGCCCTCTTGCATTTGAAACTATTTTAAGGAAATATTTTAATGAATACATCAAGTTGACAACCTCTGACCCTACTCATTCATTTTAACCTCACAAAAAGGAAATCAGACAGATTCAGTTAGAGAAGAAAGAAAAGGGGGGGGAAAGATTAAACCTAAATCCGACCAAGCCTTAGGATCAAACTCCCTTTTTACAGGAAATACAGAAGATATAAGAATGTCTTAAATGACACCATAAGAAGACAATCAACAAAATCCAGAAATTGGAAAAGCCTTTAAGCAAATTATCTACTTCCTCTATATAAAATTGCAAGAAAAGAGAAAAAAGAAGTGGGAAGCTATGGATAAGGCTCAAGATTTAGATC